GGTTTCTCTTGCAGCGGGAAGCCCTGAGCACCTCTACTGCAGCAGCAGGTGCGGCAGTGTCCGAAGCACACTATCAATAAGATTCAGAAACCACTAATAAACATCCTGTCAATAAACCATAAATTTACTCGTCTTTATAGTTTTATAAACCATACTCACTCAGAAGCAAAAAAAAACCCCGTGCTCCTCACAGACTTGTCTCTTCTCCCCCAACGCAGCAAGGCCACAGCTAGCTAGCAAACAAAATCCCACATGGCTATGAGACACATGCTAACAAAGCAACCTTTCTGACTGTGCATACTTCATTCAAAACCCGGCTAATTCTCCCGTTTTAACTGCCTACATACACTTAATAAACAACCCGCTCTAAATTATCCTACAATATAGCAATTTAACACACTTTTAAGAACTTACAAACAGCGCTTCACATCTCCCTTTTCCTCCCGTTTCTCTCCTTTCTCCGCACTTACGTCTGCAGCACGTTCTGCGTTAACTCCCGCCCTCCTAAGAAACCGGTAGGCTACCAAAATTATCCTGACTTGGCACTGATTGGCTAAACAATAACATGGTGCCCACCAACTGACCAATGTACATAACAAACGGGGAACTTAAAAGTTCAAGGTCTTTCCAAACTGTGGGAAATTTCAACACTATTCAAAATTACACATTTCTTCATCTTCACGCCAAAAATTAACCATAACTGAACCAGAGTCCAGGGATACAGTAAGCACTGACTAAATGTACATATATAAAGGAACAATATACAACCACAAAAAAATTAGGAGGGCACTACACATACCTGACCACACCAGTCGTCTGCTGAGCTGATGGAGTTAAAGCTGCCACACCTTCTCCATCCTGAGGGTGATAGTTGAGGTGTTTCCATCCTGTGGAACCGTAAACTCGAGTCCTCGGACTCCAGCTGTGCCTGTAGGTGTCACAGTTTAACGTGGAGTTCCTGTGAATCTAATTAAACAGTAAATGTGAGCGATGTCCCCTGATGGCAGAGTGGGAATGCCGGCGTTCTGTAGGAAGCGCTCTTCACCCTGCAGCCACTTCATCGGCTTAATTACTTTCACTAAGAATTTATCAAGTAATTTGACTTAGTTTCAATTAAAATCTCTCCTAAACGCTGCTCGGCTGATGTGCAGCAGACGTGGAGCTTTGTGCTGTTTGCTGGGCAGACGGCACTCAGGGCTTCAAGAGAAGAACTAATCCTCCAACTATAAAGGTCTGCGTAACCTTTCTAACACAATTTCACAAAAGACTGCTCTGTTTGTTCTGCTCGCAGAAATAAAGCTAATTACAAAAACCCGCCCAAACGTCTTGACCTTTCCCTCCGGGTAATTACAGCTTCTCATTTCTTTTCTTTGGCTTTTCTTTTTTCTCTCCCCCTTTTCTTTTCCCCGATGCGTTCGTCTTAATGGCAGCTTCATCCTCCTGCTCCTCCATCAGCCGGACGGCGCACGAGAAAGAAAACCCCGTCAGAAATAAAGAGAGATCTGAGGTTTAATTTCAGCTTCATCTCTGTGAAAACGAGTCTGTCCTCGGCGAGCGTTTACTGTGTGAAGGTCACGCGCTGCTTTATGAAGCTGCTGGATCCTGGAGAGCCGCTCTGAATACCACCGACTTTATTTATGTCGCGCCATGATGCAAAGACGAAGCGACGCCAACATCAGAAACGGAGCGCTTCTAAATCACTGTGCAGACTGATGCTACTTTTACAGTTA